AGGCTTTGAGAATACCCACATGTGACCACTCCCTCCCTTCCTCTTAAAAGACACGTTCAGGTAAGACCAATGTTCTTTTTGTGTTTTTTCTTGTAGCAGTTGTTACTTATGAAATTCTCATCTGTGAGTGGCCTTATTTTGCTTCTCAATTTATAACATTATGGCAATATGTATCATTAGACAGTAGATATATTCCTAGCAAAAGTAGTCCTCAACTTATTTAGTAATTCAAAGTTACAACGGCATTGAAAAAAGGTGATTTATAACCTGTTCTCACACTTACAAGTGTTGCAGCATTTCCATGGTCATGTGATCAAAATTTGGGCATTTGGCAACTGGCATGTATTTATGGTGGTTGCACTGGATTCTTACCAGCAAAGTAAATGCAGATTCACTTATCAACTATATGATTCACTTAACAACTGAAGTGATTTGATTAACAACCATGGCAAAAAAACCTTCTAAAATGGGGCACGACTAATATAACAATTGCCTTGCTTAACAAGTTGATATATATATATATATATATATATATATGTTATACATATATAACATACACACACATACCTATGTGTATGTGTACGTACATACACAATCTTACTGTTGGATTGGGTAAATCATTTTATAGACATATCAGAGGGTAGAGAAATACCTTGCAAAAATAAATTCATGCTGACATGGGTTTTAGTATCCTTTTAAATAAAAAATAAGGAGCATATTCAGCATTTTTCATTTAGTTTGTAAGAAAATTCTCCTTATTTGCTGCCACTGAATGTGGAATTTAAGAAACATTGTATATATTTAAGTCATAAATTATTATCTTAGCTGCTTTTCAGAAGTAATAATAAGCACATTTGTTTCTACCCATCCTACCCAATCTCCTTAACTGTTGGCTAGGAAGTGTTTTCTGGCAGAGCGCTGAAGGACAGCCTTTCCTGCTGTGGCACCCTCCCTTTGGAACATAATTCCTCTGAGATTAGATTAGCCTATCCCTGTTGACCTTTTGTAAAGTCTTGAAAATATGGCTTTGGATCCAACCTTGGGACTCTGAACCCACCTTCTGGTTGACGATGATAGAACAAACTATGCTCAGGTACTATGTGTTTCTATTTTTTAAATATTTTTAATATTTCTTTATTTACTATATTTATATAGCTGCCCTTTTTGCATTCATTAATAGTGGGCAGTGTACAATAAAAGAACAATCATAAAAAACTAACAATTAAAAATACAGCAATTAAATCACCAATCATTATGAATGCTCAGAATCACATAAAAGGGAGGTGGGTTATGTAAAATATGAATGAATGAATGAATGAATGAATGAATGAATGAATGAATGAATGAATGAATGAATGAATNTGATCATATGACTTAAAATTTGATCATATGATCATGGGGCTGTTGCAACAATCATGTAAAAAAAAGTTATAAGTCATTTTTTTCTAGTGTCATTGTAACTTTGAACGATCACTAAATGATTGGTTTTAAGTCAAGCACTACCTGTAAGAGGTAAGTCTAATGCAGCAGGGCAAATGCCAATACAGCCTATGATTGGGTTCTCTTGACAAGCTATGTGCTACATTTCCTTAACTATGGATTGTGTGCCCTTAAAAATATGAATTATAAATACATTAAAACTGAATAAACCATAACTTCCTTAAATCATAGTTCATTAATACTTTGCTCTTCCCCATGAGTTAATAAGCTGTATTCTTACCAGAACATAAAGAGAAAATTTTATATTAGAAAGTTTGTGCCAAAGCCACATGATTGAAAATGGGAGTCATGCTGTTAAAATTTCATACCAAGCTTTGTAAAATTATTGTACAAAGAAAGATAGTTAAGAAATCTATCAAGCTAAGCTCCCTTGTGCCATTATTACAGACAATTTAGTTGATTTTCTTCTAGACATAATTCTTAGACAATAGTATGTAAATTCGTAAAACCTGGAGATTGTGTGCTTCCTTTAAGCACAAAAGCTGGTTGATCAACTTTTGGCAGCCATTCTTTCACATCCCAACCCCCCTCATAGGATTCTTCTAATGAAGGAAATAGATAGGACTACTGTGTATGATTGCCATCATGGGTTACATATAAAAATGCAGGATATCTCATCTAAATCTGATGGTAATAACAACATTAAACAAGATCACAACCAGTCAATTGCAAAAGGCAGCCTTAATTGGAACAATTTACAACAATACCTTTAATATCATCAGCAACATCTAGCAATCTCAGGTCCTTGGGAAGGACTCAATAGATCAATAAAAATGCCAAATCTAGCCTAAACATCTGGCTGAATATGCGATGAACAAAACCTAAAATTCTACCTAAAATAGGATTTTGGAGAATATAATTTCACTTTAAGCAGCTCTACGTCTGTAGAACCTCAAGAAAACAGTACTTCTGTAACAACATTTAGCTACAGTAAAGTAAATTGCTTCTAGAGCATTCTAGAATCTTGGACACAAGAGCACCACTTATTTCTATTGATGCAACTATTCTGAATAATCTTGTATTATACCGTTACAAAATTTCCTCAACTGTAACATACACTGCAGATTACAACACAGGAAATCTGAAAAAACTCCAGTTTTTTAACATTTCCCCAATGCTAACGACTCCTAATCCAACTTTTGGCCACAGCACATTTCTGGAATTTTTAATTTCTAGAAGTGAATGGATTTGGTATGTTAATACAAAAAATAATAATAAAGATAAAATTGACAAAACATTGGCTGACTTTATAAAAGATAAGCTTGCAATTTTTATACAATTCCATAGAAGAATGCAAAGCTACAAAAGAGCACATGCAGCTGCAAAACAATCTTTCTTAATGAAACATTGAAATTTAGAATTTTTTTAAAAAAAAAAGATCTTACCACTTCTGGAAGCAACTTAGTTGCAAGGTCATGGATGGCTTTGATCACTATGCATAAAGAGGACAAAAGAAATATCACGCCCAAGATGACACAAGCTCTGTAAAGAAAGAAAGGTTTTTAGGAACTTTTATGCACTGCTGTTTAAAGTTTAATGAAAACACAATACTAAATAATATGCAGAATGTTTACACAGTAAACATTTTTAAAGAATTAACACTTGTTAACAAATTAACATTTGTTTTTTTTCCTTTTTATTATTTAGTTTTTTCCTTTTTCTTTTTTCTTTCTTTTTTTGTATTTACTAGATTTGTATTATTTGTATTTAAAAAAATATTTTTTAAAAAAACCACTCCACACAACAACATTCAAGAGCAGGATACGGAAACAAAATCATTGTCAGGAATTCTAAAGTATCAAGCAATTGCTCATGCAGTGAGATACCCATATTGATCTTGTCACTTATTCAGGACTTAGGGTAGTCTGAAAATGTAAATTGCATAAATGTGAATAAACCTGGTGTGCAGTATTTGCCTTA